TGCATTTAATTACTTTTAAATATGTGCTTATTAGTTATTTAATGTTGAACAAAAACTACTAATTATTTTATAACTAAACAGTTATATCAATTAAAATCCATTATCTCCTATTTGCCTTTTTTTTTTGAACTGCCTAAAATCCATTATCTCTTTTGTTATTTACTACTTGCTAACTACGACCCATTGCCGTACCACTATCCGCTATCCGTTATTTGTTAAATTTTAATTGTTATACCAAACAGCCATTATATGCTTGGTTTGAGGAGAATGGAGGGGAGGGAAAAAAAATTCTTCATTTGCTTTTAAAAAAATTAAAGAGGAGAGGAAGGGAAAAGTTTATTTTTCTTTATTTTTTCTTTTAATTTAATTACTTATCTAAATGAGAAGAGGGGAATGAAGTGGAACTAAAGAAAATAATTCCCCTCCCATTCCTTTCCTCCCTCTTCATTTTCCTCAACTCAAACATAGCGTAAGTTTAACTACTCAGTAAAAAATTGCATCAATTAATCATAACAAATTGTAAAATTATAATTAACTGCTTTTATTAGAATGGCATAATCAACAAGGAAAGTTTCAAAATTAATTAATTTCCCGTCAAAGACAAAATATTTTACCCAAAAAATGCATAGATGTGCATTCCTTTATTATTTATGGATAAAATACTAAAAAATTTAAAAATTTAAAAATTCTTCAGTTTCCAGAATTACATGAATTCCATTTAGAGCCATCAGATATTATTAAAAAAAACCATAAATTTATTTATTTTTCTATTTTCGAGTTAATAACTAAAAAAAAAAATTCAAAAATTAATTAATTTCCATCAATAAACCGGCAAGTATTATTCAAAGATTGCATAAATTGGCACTGGAGGAGGGAGAAGGGAGCGCCAGAGCAAGAAGAGGGAGGGGGTGGAAGAGAACGTTGGAGTTGAGGAAGATGAGTAGAGGAGGTGAGGAAGTACTTAGGGAAGTAGATGAAGCTAGAGATATTAATGTAATTTGAATTTTATTTATTTATTAAATAACTACTATTGTGGTTTCTGGTTCTTTGTTTTAATTCTTATAAATTTTATAATTCTAAACACATAAAATTTCTTTATTTTTATGTATTTTTGCAAAATATTATCAATATTACTTGAAAAATAAGGATAAAAATAATTTTAATACTTTTAAAAATATTTATGGTTTTCTTATTAGGGTTAAAACTTGTCTTAAACAAATTTTTAATTTTTAATTTTTAGTTTTATTTTTCAGTAATTACAAAATTTATAAAAATTAAAACTAAAAACTAAAAATAACAGCCACTTTAAATTGAAACTAATTTACTAATTTATTTTTTAAGTTTATGTATGAGTGGGCTTCAAAATTCTCCACATAGGATTGATAAAGTTACATCATTTTTTAACTTGTTTACATAGGTAGGAAATATGGTACACTTTTTGTTTAATATATTTTTTTGATATTTGTTCAATTTAATTATTAAAATATAATATAAGTACAATCGATTTAGCTAGTTTTTCTATATTATATGTATAATTATATTTTTAAGTTTGTTTATTTTTAATTTTATATAAAAATAATAATTTTTTAATAAATATATTGAATTAAATACTATATCAATATATCATTATCCACTTTTTTAAGTTTGCGTGGAAATGAGTTGCAAAATTCTCCATGTAGGATTGGTAAAGTCACATAATCTTTTAATTTGTTCACATAGGTTAAAATATAATTTTAATTTCCACATAATATTTAAAATTAATGAAAAAGGAATTTTTAATAGAAAACATTTCCATGTTGGACTTCTGTTAATGGAAGTTTAACGAAAGGATGTTTTTTTATTGGAAAGTTAAGGCTTAAAAAAGTGCTAAATTAGTTTAAGAACTAAAAATAGCTCGAAAAGTTCAAAACTTAAGAATTAAAATTAGCATTTAGTTTTATATTTACTTGGTATATATGGAAGTATATTAGTCCTAAGATTGCCAAATCCCGTATTTATACTCAGTGGTGGAACTAGGATTCTATATAGGGTGGGGACTGATAACAATTGGACGAAAATTGTTAATTCATTGCTTGGAGCCTCACTTTGCTTATTTGAAATAGAAAATATCAATGAAAAATAAACAAAAATAATTAGTAAATAAGGGGTAATTGTTTCTTAAATATGTTTTCTCACTTCTCTATTGGACTCCATGCATCTTACTTGTCTAGTTGTCCTGCTTGTGATCTTTTTATTATTATTAGTGATTCTCCAAAGAATTAATGAGTTCCCCACCGTTGTGTTGAAGAATTTCTTGGGTTTTCTAATAATCACATATTAGAAAATGAAATATTTTGAAAGATTTTAAAGAGATTTATGAACTATTTTTAAGGTATAATTGTTTGAAGTATGAGTATATTATTTTTTAATTTATGCTTAAGAATTTACATAAAGAGCATTATTTCTCAAACAATACATAATACATTTTTTAGTCTAAAATTATACCCATCTTATTAAGACTAGTTAGTTGTGTTAATGTAATTTGATTTCTTATTAGTTGTTATCTGCGCACCATTTGAATTCCTTGGCATTTGTTGGCAAAATTTTCTTAGCTTGCTATCAATGGCTATGATGGGAGGAAAACGAAGATG